AAAATATGAGTCTTTTTTCATAAAATGAAATATTTTAGTCAAAATGCTCGAAAAAAATGAATGTTTAAGTAATTATTTAGTCAAATATTAAGGGTCATTTTATTCTAAAATGAAACATTGAAGGTTAAAATATTAAAAAAAAATGTAAACCAAAATGACTAGAACATAATACTAAAATTAGTACCCAATGTTTATTAAAATGGCCTTTTTTTTTTAACATTTTGGTCCGAATGTCTCATTTTACGTCAAAAGGACTTTTAATGTTTCTGTAGATAGTCAGGTTTGACCGTTATTCTTTTATTTTGAAACATTAATAGTTTGTTAACAAATCATTTTCATCCATTGAAGGACTTTTTGACCCAAAATAAAAGGTCGAGGACTTAAATGCTTCAAAAGAAAGAAATATACCAAAATGACTATTTTAATAAATATTGGGGGTTAATTTAATATTATACCAATAACTATTTAATTAAACACTGAGTTTTTTTTGATATAATACCTTTTTCTGTAATTAATCAGTCATTATTTGTGTTGAATATACAGAGAGAGTTTGCTGAGAAAGCCAAATTAGGATTGGAGAGAGCTGAACCAGACAGGAAGAGATGGGGGAAAATATGCAGGAATTTTCTTACGAGAACTCCCCATTTCAGCTTTTGTTGATAATGGGTTTCATGTAATTTTCTCACACAGTTTGTATTTTTTTTCTTGGGTAAATTACCCATTTAGTATCTAAACTATCAGTTTTAGTATGTTTTAATACCTAAACTTTTAATTTTTTTTCAAAACCATACCTAGCATTTAGTTTTTTTTTTATTTTTTTATTTTAGTATCTCCTTAGTAGTATTAGGGATTTAAGCATGGATGACTAAAAATCAATTTTAGAGACTTTTAAGAACAATCATAATTTAAATTAAGCACATAATTAGGACAATTTACTATAGTCGTTGAAACAAAACTAGCAACTTAAGATCACATAAGGATCATACAAGAAAAGATTAAAAATCTAACCAAAAAACTCGAATAAAAATAGACCACATCAGTAAACGAACCACAAAAGAGGATCAAGATATTGAAAGACCACCTACAGACCGCAAATCAAACTCGAATGACGTGAAAAGCTATCAACGAGCGCGAATCGGGTATCTAAATTCAATTCGAGGGTCCAAAACATGAAAAATCAACAAGATATCAGACAAATGTTATATTGATTGGTCGTGATGATATCAAATCAATCCTTAGAAAAAGATAAATGAAAAAATGACCTAACGACCAAAGAATAGATTAATCGTACCAAACGTTTTTAAAGTGTAAATTACGCCCATGGCTGTAACACCCCCAACCCGTACCCAACCCGGATACGAGTCCGAGATGTCACATTGACTTTTAAAACCATATTCTTACAAAATACAAAATATTTGAACTTATATTAAAAAAATACGTTAATATGCCGTTGAATTATGTTCGTTATAACAAATTTAAGGAAAGAAACATTTTTATAAATAGTACCATGAACAGTATCAAATGCTAAAATTTTCCAGAATGCTACAGGGGTATCGATACCCTGCAACAGTGTACTGATACTCTTGCTACAGTAATTTCGTCCACTTGTATAAAACTCATAAAATTTAAACTTTCATCAGTATACATTTACCTATTACATAAATACATTTAAAACATTCTAAAACTCGATCAGAGCATATCGTATTCAAATCTTTATTTACATGCCAACCAATATCAGTATTACAAAATACATACTATTCAATTATTTTCTGATCTGATCTTTGGAAAGGAGAAACTAACATGTCTTGCTTAACTTTTATCATTCTCCCCTCTTCTCGGAACCTACGCGTGAAACAATCACACGCTAAGTCGTTGACTTAGTGAGGCATATAAAACATATAATAAAATCATAGAACATTTCACATAACAGAATGCATACATGCATAAATACCATCATTATCTACATCAATATCGTTATCATGATCTCTATCATTATCATTAACCCATTTAAAACATGTTATCGTACACTTAACCTTTGTAACATGTCATCTTGTACTTACCAATTGTAACATATCATATAATACATTTCATATAACAAAGCATATACATCACATACAGTGTATTTATACTATCTCTTTCAATAGCCCATATACTAGCCCATTTATACTTTGATATCTTTTGTAGACTCGTGTACATTATTGATAACTCAAGTTATATGAGTACTTTGACGTTGTAAACACATATGTTGTCACTACATCTCATATAATAATCTGTCCATATATCCCGAATAACATAGGTAACCTGTTCATATGTCCCAAAGAACATAGGTAATTTGTCCATATGTCCCGAAGAACATAGGTAATCTGTAACATATATAATCATGCATTTAACACATAATAACATCTCACATCATGGAAGATGAAAGTCAATTTATTCCTTTTATTTGCCCATGTACACTTGTGAGAACTAAAGATATGTGAATGCATTGAGGTTGTGCACAAACATGATGTCACCATAGCTCGTATAAATATCCCGAAGGACCAGTCTATAGGTCTCGAAGAACCTAGGTAATCAGTCCATATGTCCCGAAGAACATAGGTAAACAGTCCATATGTCCCAAAGAACATAGGTAAATAGTCCATATGTCCCAAAGAACATAGGTAACCCTCGACTCTTGGCATGCCAACTATACCACTAGCTCTCATATCACATAACATGGGCATTATCATTTATAACAATTTACATATTCATATAGGCACATAGTTCACTTACACGTAGAACATTTCCATATGATTCACATTCACATATTTCCACTCTTCTGTCACATACCACATGTATGTGTAAGCATCTATCTCATATCATATAACATGTATCATATATTCAGGAAATTGTGTAGATCATGTCTCATAGTTTTTATTATTTCACATATACATCACATAGTCACATAAATCATCACATTACTTATATCATTTCACATGTAGTCACATGGTATGAAATCTCATAGTTCATTGTCATATATTGCATATCACATAGGTTTATCTCACATAACATGTAATCACATACTTATTATCTCATAGCTCATGTTACATTTTCATATAGTCACACAAATCATGTAACATATATAATAACATATAACACATATAAAAATATGCATGTACTCATATATATATAATACTAATCTCAATAACATGCTTGTATTCATGGGTTATTGCAATCGAATATTGAAAATAGACTCATCACAAGTCTTATTTCCTTAAAACACCATATATACAGAATAACATGCACTCACCTTGACACTTTATATATATCCAAATCCACTTCTATGATTTTTCTCTTTGGATTGATCCTAACTTTGCAGTCGTTTCAGAACTTGCTTGTGCTCAATATCTACATAAACATGATTTCCAAGACAATTATTAGAAGCCTAAACCTTAAACTTCGATGCTATTAATTTAAACGAATTTAATAGACCAATATTCACTTTTTCCTTTAGGGGGTATCAATACACTCGTTGAGGTAACGGTACCCTTACTGCATTTTGTTATTTTTCGTTCAAGAGGGTATTTGGTACACATACATAGGGTACCGATACACTCTGCCTAAAACAGGCTTTTTCACCAGAAAATTCATCAACTCTTCACTGAATTTCCTCATACAAAGCTCCTTTCATACCACCAAATTTAACTACAACCATTTTAATTAACTTCTATCATTTTAACATCTTATTATCTCCCATATCTCATCCAAATTCTTAAAACCAAAAATCTTACTAAATTTTCCATGTAATCCAAATTTTGATTTAACACTTATAACTTCTTATTCATACCTATGACAAGTCAATTTTAGTTTCCAATTCCACTTATCAACTATGTTCCAAAAATTTATTTAGAAACTCATTCCCTTTAATCTCTTATAACTTCTTCTTCTTTTGATTATAAGACAACTTAAGCTTTCCTTAAGCTTAAGTATCACCTAAGGATCATGACCCAACCTTTAATTCAACAAATAATCAACTAATTAAGAAACTCAACTTTGCTTGGGGTGCTTCATGTTGGAGAAGAAGAAAGGAAGAAGAATAAGATAACTCTCTTCCCCCCCCCCAACGTGATTCATTCATATAAAGGGGAAAAGTATCTTTCTTGTCAAATGACCATTTTGCCATTTAATTCCTTTGATAATTACTAACAACTTTCAGGAAATATTTCCACATAACTCATTGAACTATTCAACTATTCTACTTTAATCACCAAATTCTGAAAATTTACAATTTGATCACTAACCCGGTATTGAGGATGTTACAATGGCCACTTTATGGGCATATTCTATTTTGAATATGGATCTTCTAATTTTATTAATTAAACTTTTAATTATTTAAATGGTGTCAATCAAGTCACGTGTTGTTAATATATAATTATACCATTTTTTTAACTACGTCAGTTACTCTAATCTTAATTATTACTTATGTTTTTTTTCAGAAAAAAATATTATTACTTATAGGGTAAACTATGCCAACAATCCATTTTGTTTTTGGTATGATCAAATTTGGTCATCAGTTTTTTAATTAAGTGCGCTTGGTCCCTTACATTATCAATCTGTTTAATTTTGGTCCCTCGACCGTTAACTCCATTAGTTAAAGTGTTACGTGACAATTAAAAATAAAAATAAAAACTCCTCCTCCTCCTCACTAAAATTATTTGGAAAGCTAGTTGGTCCCTTACATTATCAATCTGTTTAATTTTGGTCCCTCGACCATTAACTCCATTAGTTAAAGTGTTATGTGACAATTAAAAATTAAAAAAAAAACTCCTCCTCCTCCTCCTCACTAAAATTATTTGGAAAGCTAGTTGCAAATACACTAATTTATTATGGTAATACACTCTTTCCAAATCTCCCAGTTAACAACTAAGCTCAAAGTTTGATAGAAGGCAAACCAGGGAGTTTATACAATTTAATAAAAAGAAAATTTAGTAGAAAACTAAGTCTCTTAATAGTTCTTGATGGAAAAAGAAGAGTTATTAACATGTCGAATAGCTCTCATGAAATTTTCTTTAACCTAGCGATTATGGTGCATGCATTGAAGATAGCAAGAGGAACGATCATAGAAAATGTTCGTACGCATACTCATAAAGTCCAAGCCAAAAAGAACTTTTGGCCTTCCTTCATTTTCAGTTTAAGTCACTGATCCTTTGGATCATCATCTAACATGCATCTTTGCCTCTTCCTCTAACAGTTCCAATGGCAGCTTAAACATCACCGAGACGATAAACCCAGAAAAACTCTTGCCTAACCCTCCGATGAGGAACCCAAAAACCCATCCCATTAGTTTCTTATGACGGGGTGGTGTTGCTTCAGCAACTGCAGAGTTTCTTCCATTACTGCTTCTTGGATCAGTTCTCTCGGCAAACATGTACCGCTTCGGATGCCTCAACACTGACGCTTCATCGGCTTTGCTCATCAATGGAGTTTCAAAATGAACGTATCCATAGTAAGCTTGTTGTAAGAAACTGAATCGAAGGTTTCGAAATGAACTGATTAAGAATTTTGAGTTTTTTACAATCAACGATTTTGGTCGGGAATTGATGAACCATATTGTTGTGATGAATAGTCAGCTCTATGAGCTCGATAAGCTTTTCGACTTCAGGTAACAAGAATCCATCGAGCCCTTTGGATTTAAGAACGAGCTTAGTGATTATGAGAACGTAAGTTTCATTTAAACTGACGGACCGAGAACGTAAGGCACTGAGCGCACTTAATTCAAAAATTGATAAACAAAGTTGGTCACACCAAAAATAAAGGGGCTATTGGCATAGTTTACCCTTACTTATAAGTTTAAAAATATCAAATCAAAGGGATTATGATAATTAACAAATATACACATGGCAATAGGTCGCAATTCCTTAGCTTATGAGTGATAAAAATGAAACTATGTAAATAATTGAGTGACTAAATATGTAATTTATTGTTATATTTTTTAACAGAGTTGTCGATTTGGGATATATGAAATAATGGTTTAAATTTCTTGGTATAAAACGTCTTAAAAACATTTTAGACAGCAACTCGATACAAAGTACATAATTTAAAGGGTAATGGTGCATTTAAATCATCAAAATAAAAGTGACACTATGGTAGTTTACCCTTTATTATTCTTTTGTTTTGTTTTCAAATAAATAAATAAACTTCTCTTTGTTGTATTGATGCCAATATTGGTTACGTATATAGTTGCATTTTTCTTTACAAACGCCGCAACTGTATACGTCATCAATGGTATTTTTCCCCAAAAAGCTGTAAAAGACCGTGATTTTTAATGGCGTTTATTTTACTAACGCCGCTACATTAACTGATTTAACATGCATCATTTTTTTCTATGTATTACACAAATTTAATATCACGTAGCATTATAACAATAAGATTGAAATTTAATTACGACACGAATTAAGTAAAAATAATAAATAATAAAAATAAATAAAAATTTATAAACATTAAAGTGAAATGTAATGTAGTTCAACATTATTCACTAGAATAAACAAAGTACGAAACTAAGAAATTACTCAAGATGGTTCCATGAAACGACAAAATGATGACTACACCATGCACTTGAGATGCGGGTGCTTCTGTCAACTGCTGAATAAGATTGTCCACCATGATAGACATAGTTAGGCCGTTTGACAGAGTAATTTTCAATCATGTCCCCTACATTTGTTTCTGCAATCTCTCTCCGTTCAACGACAGTTGCATTTCTCTATATAGGACCGAAATAACATCTAACATAGTCGGTTGATCAAGTGGACTATCCTCCACGCATAGCAAATCCATTAATTGTAGTGTTGCACCATGTTTCCATAGTTCTCATGCCTGCAAAACAGTCATATATGATATGAACTTACATGCCACTACATTAATGCTGAAAAAATAAGAAAATCTTAACGCAAATTATTCTAGAAGAACAGAATGAACAATGCCTTTGGAGCTACATCTGATTCCGGATCCAATACGACCCGACTTGAACACGAGACAGTGGCGGATGCACTAAGCTCCCGGGCCAAGTGCATCCCCATTATTTTGGAAAAGTGGTTAAATTTAACTTAATGTGTTAAGGAAAAAAGGAATAAAAAAAATTACAGTTTTTGCATACCCATTATTTTTAAGAAAAGAAAATTAAAATTTTGGACCCCATTCTTAAATTTCTGGATCCGCCACTGACACGATTGAAGGAAATATTACGATGCGACGAAGGGCTATTTCGGGGAGATAGAAAACAGGCAGGCCGAAGAGAGAAGGAGATGATTGGCGTGATAATAAAGTTATAATCGAGGGTTAGATTTTAAGCCGGATGTTGTCCCGAAGGGAAAGAGAGATATGTGAAGGGAAGAAGAACGTGGGACAACTTTTTTGAAGACGCAGTCAAGAAAGGGATTTAATCCGGTGTTGCAGTGTCTGAATTGGGATAGAAGGCTGAACAATTTGCGACGTTTGTTCTTAAAAACACTGCTATATGTACAAAATTAGCGGTGTTTCCTTCAAAAACGCACCTAAGCAGACGATAACACTAAAAAATATTTTTAGATCCGCTATTGTTAACGAGAAATACGGGAGAGTCGATAACGCTAAAATTTTACTTGAGTGAAAATATAGAAGAATGGAATTAGTGAATGGAAAAGTGAAAAGAAAATGAATTTTAAATGTGCTTGATAGAAAAGAAAAGTGAGGAAAGAAAATAAGAGATAATTATTTTCCATCCTCGTGTGCAAAGAAAAAATCATTTCAACATGGAAATGAAGATAATAGAAAATGAGGGACAAATATGAGTTGGACTTTTCTTAATATGGTGAAAAGAAATAAAAATATATATATATATATTTAATAATTTAACGATGAACGTTCAAACACATCTACAGACATCGTGTTTAAATTTGGGACCTCTAAAAATAATAATTATCTCTTTATTCATTGAAATCGCTTGATTAATAAATACATTTGGTTCATAATCATTGAAGTAGCTTCATTCGTGAACACACTTTCACTTTGAATGGAAAAAAAGAAAAGAAAAAAAAACCGTTCTAAAGTTTTAGACAATCAGGTCATTCAGACCGCTTTTGATTTTAAAACAATATATATGAGTAAATTACAAATTTCATCACCAAATTTTACTCTCTCTCTTATTTTGCACAATGAACTTTAAAAGTTTTTGATTTCCTTACTGAACTTAATACATCAAGTTTTTTTGTCACTGGACTTTATTTTCTCTCTTATTTTGGTCACTCCGCCGTTAAATAGTTAACGGCATTAAAAACGATACCGTTTAAGAAAAAAATAGAAATTTCACCAAAACAACGTCGTTTTGCATCTATATAACAACTCATTTTAACGTTGTTAACTATTTAATGGTCGAGTGACCAAAACAACCCAATGTATTAAGTTCAATGAGTAAGTTCAATGAGGAAATTGAAAAAAATTAAAGTACAATAATTGAAATAGGAGAGAGAGTAAAGTTTAGTTACCAAATTTGTAATTTACCCAATATATATATATAGTAATAAAATATTTTATTTTTTAAAAATCAACTATAATAGCAATATTCTTTCCAAAAAAACTATAATAGTAATAAAACATGAAACAAATAATGGTAGCAGGTTAACAACGTTGGAGTTGGTTAAACTAGTAGAAGACTTGGAGAAAAATATTCTGTTGAACAACGTACCAGAACATCGGTAAAAATCATAACTATAAAAACCTAACAACCTAACCTAATTTAAGGCTAAAAAAGATAATTTTAAACGCAATAAATTATGTGATAAAAATAATAAAATTTTAGGTTAGACAAAACTTATAATGTTATCATTGTTTTTCAACATTTTCGGTTGAACTGAAAATGTTACATTGTTCATAATATTTTCGGTTGACAACCGAAAATATTATATTCTTCTTAATATTTTATGTTCAATAAATTTTTTTAATAAAAATATAACATTTTAGGTTGCACTCAACCTAAAATGTTATGATTTTATCATATTTTTAATTTCATCCCAAAACCGTTATTTTTTAGCCTTAAATTATGTTGTCGCACAACATAATCACCAAATGTTAAGATGATCATATCTTACAAAAAATTATCTAACGTGTAACATCGATAAACAATTTATTATATATATGTGTGTATATATTTTTTTGTTAATCTAAGGTAAGTACAATGTAATATTTGTTCAAAGATAACCTCTTGATATTGAATGCTCACACCCTTGACATCTATTTTGCTCGAACCCGGGTCCTTAAGGAATAGCAACAATTCATTTACCATGGAGGGCACTTGGTTCGTGTTATTTTTTATATTTTAAATATTAGTGAATGTATGAATTAAATTGAACACATGGTGAACTTTGATCTTTCAACTATAAAATCTAAGGAACTTAAGGACTAGTAGTGTAATTTCATCGGTTTTCTTTCACTTGTAAATAAAGTGTCAAAAGAGGATGAGATGAATATATTCGCGAACATTAAATAAATATATTAACGAACACTAAGCGAATTTATCTACGAATGTTAAACGTAAAGATAGATTGATGGAGAGCAGATGGGGTAATCGCCCTATGATTTTTTTAAATTATCTCATATTTTAAATTTTTTATGTATTTTCTATTAAAATATATTTTTATACTTCTAAAATTTTATATTTTTCGTTCTCCTTTAAAATTTTAAAAATTCATCTTCTAACATTAAATTATACGTCAATTTCTGATTAAATAAATATATTTACAAATATTAAATAAATTAAACATTAACATTTTTTAAAATAAACAAACAAATACAAACATAAATAAATGGCTCTAGGCTATCAAGCCAACTACCCTCGAAATGGTCAAAACCAAAACAGAGGTGATGTTATCTTACTCGTTATATCAAAACTTTATTACATTAATGGTTGGATATTATATTTAATACAAAAAAGAGTTAACTACATCATATTTCCTTAAACTATAACTCTCATTTTAAATTGATCCTTAAACTTTTGAATATTCTAATTTTATCCCTAAAGTATGACTCACATTCTAAATTAATCCTTAAACTTTTGATTATTCTAATTTCACCCTTAAACTTTTGATTATTCTAATTTCACCCTTAAACTAAGACCGTCTTTATAAATTGGTCCCCAAACTTTTTAATATTCTAATTTTCATCCCCAAATTCATCCAAATATGTAATTAGTTTCAATCAAATTTTAAACTAAAATTTGTTTTTTTAAAAACATATAATAATATAATTTGACCTAACGGTTTTATTAAAAAGAGATGAGATTAGTGTATACATATAATTTAGGATGAAATTGGAGTATTCAAAAAGTTTAGGGACTAATTTAGAATGAATGTCATAGTTTAGGGATGAAATGAAATATTCAAAAGTCTGAAGACTAATTTAGAATAATAGTCATAGTTTCGGGATAAAATTAGAATATTTAAAAGTTTAGGGATCAATTTAAAATTTGTATCATACTTTGAGTACACGTGAAGCAATTAGCTATGAAAAATAACACAATAAAATCTTAACCTCAGAGACTTAATTAATTTTTACATTGCTTTGAGTGTTTGAGTGCTTATTCATTTTTAATTGTAGGTAGAGCATGTCGAGATTTTTTTATTTGTTTAAAGTGATTATAAGGTAGAATATATCTGAAATTTTTTTAAATATTTGACAATGAACGTTAAAATATCTCTGTAAATACCGTGCTCGAATATGAGACCTTTAAAAATCAGATGAAGTCAAACTACACCTACAACCTATGTTTATTCATCAAAAAAGTGTTTTAAAAATGATAATTTCTCAAATAATATAATGTCACGCAAGCAAACAAATTAAATAATAAGGCAAACTATATATTTGGTCACCTATCTATTATTTACTTTTTATTTTGATCATCTAACTATTATTTTTTCAAAATCGTACAAAGAGTTACGTTTTTATTCTGTTTTAGTTATTTGTTCTTAAAAAATAACTTTGATGTTAACATATAATGATAATTTAATGTCATATGAGCATTGAAAAATAATAATGAAAATATCACGTTATCATCATTGTTAATTTTTTAACGACAAGTGACCAAAACAGAATAAAAAATGTAATATTAGAAATGGTTTTGAATGAAATAATACTTAAGTGACCAAAGAAAACATTAAGTACTAAATGAGTGACCAAATAGATAGTTTACACTAAATAATAAAAATGAATTTCCTCTCCTATATATACAAGTTAACAGAGTACAGAACAATAGCAGAAAAGGCCTAAAATATATCCCAAACAGTCAAAAGAAAGAAAGAAAAAGAAGGGTTCAGATCACTTCGCCGGTGAAAATTCCGGAGGCATTTCTCCAGCGAGGCGTGTGGACTTAGGTTCCGAAAAATGATAAATCATCGTCGTCATCGGAAAGTTGCGACGATGAAGAATGATCATCAGAAACTCGATCGAGTCGACTCTGGCGTAGAAGATAAGGTGAAGAAGCAGAGATTTAAGAGGAAACTGTTGAGATACGAAGAGTTACCGGATTATTTACGAGATAACGACTTCATTTTGAATTATTACCGATGCGAATGGCCATTGAAGGACATTTTATTAAGCGTTTTCTTATGGCACAACGAGACGCTAAATATCTGGACGTAAGGCACTCCATTCCGATTTCAAAATTCTCGGTGGATTCATTTTTTTTCCTTCTTCTAAATTCTATATTTTTGTAGGCATTTGGGAGGATTTCTAATATTCGTTGGATTAACGGTGTTGAGTTCCATGGACGATTTTGGAGATGGAGGTGTAATCGCTAGCTTCTCCAGGTAAGGACGAGATTGTCAGTTTCCTTATTTTCTCTGATTTTTCTGGATTTTAACTCCAATTTTCTTCAGAAAGAAACAGAAACTAAACTTTTGCGTGGGAATTTTGCAGAGCTCAAGTATCAGGACCGTTGATGACGATGAATGATGTGAACGCCTCTGATAATATACATCGCATCTTCCAGGTCAGTTCTTTCTCCATTCTTTTTATTTAACATTAAATTTCTTTTCGCCTATTTTGGAAATTGTGGTCTATAAACCGATTAAAAGTAAATTAATACAAAATTAACAAACATTTGGTCTAGTGAGATGATATATTAGGTTTTTTAAGTAAATTAGAGGTTTGAATCATGACGTTTGCGAATGGAGCAAATTGGATTGGGAGGGTTACCCTCGTCTCAGTAGTACTCGATCTGGATTAATTGGTCAATAAATCAAATATATGTAATTAACTAAAAAAATTAATACAAAAACTCGAACAAAAATAATAATTAAAAAAAATGAAGGGAAGAGGAAAGTGGCAAGACGTGATAGCAAGTTTTGTTTGCGTTTGGTGGGTTACATAGTCAGTGATCACATAATAATGAATTGAAACCCTAGTGGGTCTTGCCATGTGATTCTGTTTATTTTTACAAACTTATAATTTACCAATCCTTGAAAAATGTGTGTTTTTCTCTTTTAGGTTAAATTATATTTATTTTTTATTGATTATATTTTAATTTTTTAAGGTACAATATTTATATTTATATTTTTTAATTTATGTTTTCAGTTTTTAAAAAGTTATAACAATAGCAATACTAATTCATTCCTAAAAATTACACAAATAATAAATTATTTTTATAATTAAAAATTATCATCAACTTAATTTATAATTATATATTAATTTAACTCTGTCTTTATAGTTAGCCGTTCCAAATCCAACCTCACATTATAACAACTAAAAGTTGTCGCACTACTCTATTCGTGCAAAAGTTTATGCCGTTTATCTGTAAGAAATTTTTATAATTAAAAGTTGATCTCCTTGGAATAATATTAAATAAAAATGTATATTATTCATTTTTTATAAAAATATATAACTTTGGATTAATTTTAGGATAAAATATACAAATGATATTTGATTATAGGACGTTTTGTTAAGTTTTCTTACTATTAAAAGTTACAAAATAATCTCTTGGTTAAAGGATGATGTTTTGTTAAACCCTCAACTATTAAAATTTACAAAATGATTACTCGATTATCCATAAGTTATAAACTTGTTCTTTTTCTTTAAAAAGTTAACAATCGTTTGAATTAGATATTAATTTGTTGACTATAATATGATCAAACCATATTCTAATTATATCTACTGGTATCGCTGTTATTTTCAATCACTAGCTCGATGACATAATGTAAACAGAGTCAGTACACAAAATACAACTTAAATGATTATAAGAACAGATTTTATCATACCTCAATTAAAATATTTAACTCAAACAACTGTCAAATTTTTAACTGAAAATAACAAATTTAAATCATATAAAAAATCACTGACTATTTTATAACTTTTAATAATTGAGTTACTCGATAAAATAATATTTTGTAGTCAAAAAAATTATTTTATACCTTTTAATAATTGTGAGAATTCGACAAAACAAAGCCTATAATTAGGGACAATTGTGTATTTTACCCATTATTTTTAACATTATAAATTGGTCATACTGCAAAAATTAAGGATTCCATTGGTCGAGGAGATGAAACAAATGGGTTTGAGTGCATATCAAATTGTTATCTTACGTAGGTGTCAGTGATTGAAGAATCTGTAGACTGTAGGACATGAGCTTTCGAAATGCTCCCAAAATATGTGCTTTCTCATCACGTGATACTAATTGGCTCTTTTTATTGCTAATTGTAATGGGCTCTTGGATGTATTTCACTTTTAGAAAAATTAAATGACCAATTTAGTAGTGGTTTAACTACTATGTACTAACCATTTCAGTAAAGTATATATTTTATTTTTTTTACTTTTATTAAAATGGTCAAAATTAAAATATTCTGTAAAACGTATCTTTTTTAAAAATTAAGTATATAATAATAAAATTGATAAAATGTTCAGGTTGGATCTGATTCAGGTTTAAGGTAAAAATGCCCAACTCAACCCGACCCAAAAGATTGTAATTTTACCTGATATATTTAGGATAATTGTAATAATGTCCCTCTATATTTTATTTTTCTTTCAATTAAATTTCTATTTTTCTTAAATAAAAATAATTTCTTTGAGTTCGGATTTTGTGTTAAAATCCGGGTCGGGTTTGAGTCGGGTGGAAGATGTATATTTTTAGATCATATTTAGGGTTTATTATTTTTAGATCGGGTCAGGTGGACCAAAAATCCGATCCGACCCATGCTCATCCCTAAATCTATCCGTCTCAATTCTCAACATGCTTAAGTATAAAGTACAATAACTTTTTTACCCCCTTAATTTGATCATTTTAGTCAATTTAGTTCTTAATTTTTTTATTACATTTCTTTTCTCTCGAGCTTTTATTTTTTCAAATTAATCCAAGCATGCCAGAACAATAACGAGCTATTAAACTGAAATTAGTTTTTTTTTACCAAAATGTTAACGCCAAATATAGTCTTTTTCTGCCATGTCATCAAAAAATTAGGGGAAAAAATACCATTTGAGCAAGGAAAATAGCTATTTTTCTAATATAGAATATTTTGATGATGTGGCTGATGTGGCAAAAATGACAGTGCTTGATATTAGTCTAGAGGTCTCGTCACTGTTCTGTTATTTATTATTATTATTATTATTATTATTATTATTATTATTATTTTGGAATCGAACTGTTCTGTTATATTTTGATCAATTTGACAAAAATGGAAGTTTGAGATCAAAAGAATGCAATGAAAATATATGGGCTAAAATGACTATATTAATAGAGTTAGGGCCGAATAAGTCAAGTAGAATTATGTTGGGTTTGGGTCGGTTTTTCAAACTTACCGACCTCCTCTTACATTAATCAAATCGACCGGCTAACTTAGATAAAACTAGCTTAATCGGACCGACTTAACATCGATCGATTCGGTCGATTTTAGTTATATATTTTATATACTAATCGCATTTTATTTTTAAATATTTATTATATCTTAATTGTATATTTAAAATAAAATAAAAACCATATGTATTATGTTGGTTAAATCGAGAAATCTGATTATGAATTTCAATAATAGAAAATCGACAGATAAAATCGATTTTAACCAATATGATAGACGTAACCGAAACCGATTTAATCAATTAGGACAAGTTATAGACTATAATAGAAATATAGAATACTTCTATCCCTTCTCATGAATAAAAAATATCTTCTTTCTCCCACTAAATGTCTTTTTCTTAATTTTAAAATTACCTTATTTAAAATATCTTATTAAAAAGATATTCATTATAAGACAGAGGGAGTACATATTATTTAAATTTAGGTATATTATATAAATATTAACAAAAAAAAATATTTCTAAACTCCAGTGTTTGGTGTATTTGTTGTGAATGTTCACTTGAGAAATGACCAAGGTACAAATCGGGAGAATAATTTACTAGTGGTGTGTGTGCATAGGGATGGTATTTTAACTCGAAAATTGAATGGTTTTAACCAATTCGATTTGACAGGATCGGATTTTTTTTTGAAAAAAATAAATAGGCTTCGGGTCGGGTCGGATTTTTTAAAAGAGTGAGGTTGGGTCGGGTAGAGGGTTAAAAAAACTCCTACCCGACCCCACCCAACCCGGGGATAATAATGTAATTTCTTTTAAAAAATTATTATTTTCAATTAAGTCCTTATTTTATATCGGGTCGAGTCCGGTCAGGTTGGACTCGAGTGGAGGATATATATTTTTCAGATCAAATCGAGTTCGGATGGATGATACATATTTTTAGATCGGATTGGGTTGATAAAAACCTGACATGTTGCAATCCCTATGTGTGCATGGTGGTGCTTCTAAATTTATTTTTAGATCTTTGAATAATTATGAAAACCTCTTGGTTGTTCATTTCCTTTTGTTTAGTATCCTTGGTTCTTATAATTGAATACACCTTATTTTAAACTATACGTAGGTACAATTAAGGGAGAAGACATTAAAGGAATATATTTTGTAGAAAGCTTGAATAAAACAAAAAAAAAAATTATGATGCCCTACCGAGTCTGAGATCATAGACTTGTTCATGAACTAGATTTTGAAGCATTAGGCCTTGGACCTTTGGTAATCCGAGGGATAGATTAAGGGAAGTTGACGGGATAATCGTCTTTTGAAAATTTCAAATACACGTAATTTTGAAGTTGAAGTTTCCTTTGCAGGACTCACACTTGAGACACATTTCTCAGTCAACACTCTTTGATTTGAAGAAAGAAGATGGCTATAACTCTATTCCAAAATGGCCCTGGTTTGTTTTCTTGTCTGGTGCAATGGGGTGCTTGGTTTTCAGCTCCGTTTCGCACCTCTTTGCTTGCCACTCCAGACGCTTTAGCCTCTTCTTCTGGCGCCTGGATTACGCCGGCATCTCCCTCATGATAGTCTGCTCCTTCTTTGCTCCGATCTACTACGCCTTCTTCTGCCATCCATACTCATGCTTCTTCTATCTCACATCCATATCGGTGCTCGGCATCCTCGCCATCGTCACTTTGTTATCGCCGACTCTCTCTGCAACCTGTTACCGGAATCTTCGAGCTTCCTTGTTTCTTGCAATGGGGTTTTCAGGGGTGATCCCAGCAGCACATGCGGTTTCTTTGAACTGGGGACATCCGCATATATTTGTCGCTTTAATATACGAGGTTGTGATGGCGTTCCTATACGCCGGGGGTGCCGTGGTTTACACCGGCAGGATACCGGAGCGGTGGAAGCCCGGTGCATTCGATATTGCCGGGCACAGCCACCAGATCTTTCATGTGTTTGTTGTCCTTGCAGCGCTTGCTCATAGTGTTGCCACCCTTGTGATTATGGATTTCCGTCGGGAATCTGCAACATGTGGGTATTAGTGTTCAAGTGTTAGGTAAACAATGTTTGATGACGAGGGGAAATTCTTAGTTCTCGCTGTTTTTGACTTAAATTGAATCAATTCCAACAATATTTTCCTTCAGAGAGTTGCACTGGTGTGGCCTTCAAAATCATATTTGATTGGTCATGTTTTTCTTTTCATTTCGGTTTCTAAGATTTTGGATTGGTTAATACGGACCGACCCAGGTCGCACACTTAACTTTGGTCGGTGATTCTCTCAACAGGAATTTCTACATACACAAATACTCGAACCCAAAAATTATTTAAAATCACATCAAACTACTTATCACTTGAACCAACCTCATTTGTGTGGTACATGTTTAGATGTGTAGGTTAACTTATTAAATTCGTTGTCCGCATGTTTGAGCAATAATGTATAAATATTCAAACAATCATTTGAAACTTAAGGTATGTATATCTTAACTCACTAAACGAATAAAGGGTAAACTGCATGTTCAGTACATTAACTATTACTTTTATTTTGTTTTGGTACCCAAATTTATATATTTTTTAAAAGCGTACCTAATATTTAGTTTATGTTTTATTTTGGTAAACCGTTTTTTAAAATTTAAGGATGATATTGACGTGTCACTATAAGGTAATGACATGTCATCATTAAAATAGTAAAAATGTTACGTTAGTAGTTCTTTTAATTTTTTTAACCACAAATGTATAAAATTGAAAGATAAACTAAACAATAAGTATTCTTTTAGAAAAAAATAAAATTTAAGTACCAAACTAGAACAAAAATAATAGTTTAACTACTAAACTTATAGTTTACCCATGAATAAATACAAGTGTTCGTATGTTTGAGTAAAATTAATAATTATAGTCACTAAATAAATATATATTATGGATTAAATTTGATATTAGGCATAAAATAATTCCACGTTACAAATTTATAATTCTTTATTAAATAACTTTTAAAAAGAATTTTATATTTAAAATATATTGGATAAACTATGTGTTTAGTACTTAAACTATCAGTTTTGATCTATTTTAGTACCTAAAATTTTATTTTTTTCAAAATCATACCTAAAATTTAGTTTTTTTTTATTTTAGTGTTCTGTTAAAAACTTAACATTAAATTTTGATTTTTTTTTTGAAAGTTTAGGTACTAAAAAGGGACAAAACTAATAATTTAGTTACTAATTGTGTTAAGTTTTTAACGACAGTGTACTAAAATAAAACAAAAATTAAACATTAGGTATATTTTTAAAAAATAAAAGTTTAGATATTAAAACAGACTAAGACTAATAATTTAAGTATTAAACATATAATTTACCCATATATATATAATATTAAAATAGTTCGTCAATAGTTAAATAGTTCGTCAATAGATATTTTTTAGTTTGTGTTTTCCTAAAAGAGAACTCCTTTATTATAACGAAACTAACTAGTTGTAACTTTACTTCATAGATTAAATTCAACAAAACAAAAAGGGGGGAAATGTTCCTTATCATTTTCATTTTTTAATGATTCATTTCTCATTATTGTGTATGATTTTTATGAATCATTAAAAAATGAACTATTAAGTAAATATTAAAAGGATAAAATAAAAGAAAGTATTTTTTATTTTAACATGTATTGAACTTAGGTCTTTTACATTAATTTAAAGGCAATTAACGATTGAGTTAAACTAGTAATTCAAGATAATTTCACCATATTTCCTATTTAACTTATATAATAATATTATCACAAAATCAATATTTTCTGATGATTATAAAATTCGAATATGTGACACTTTAAATAAATAATCAAAAGCTTAGTCATTCAACTATAATGTGAACCTATTTTTATTATATAAAACTTACTACTTACTTACTTTTAGATTTACCCCCAGACCAATTTTAATTTGAAAACCTTAGTCGCTTTCTTCCTCTTCCTCTCTCTTTCCTTTTTTTTTTTACAATTTATGTCAATTTTATTAATCAATTCAACATTTTCTTCTTTAATTTTGTTTAACTGACGGCGACACCGGTTTTGATGTTGGTTGTCGCCCGTCTGTTATTTTTTTTTTTTAGTTTTTTAATAAGAATAATTATGTTTTTGTGACATGTTCTCTGTCTTTATGACACACATCTCTACCTTTGTGACACGTCTTTCTCTATCTTTTAGCAGCTTATAGTTTTTTCTGTTGTTTTCGTTTATCTTTTTTCTTAGAGTTTGATTTGACATTGTCACGACTGATCAATATGGCACTTATTTGTTATCATGATGATTTTCCCTACTTTGGACCCTCATATTAATTTGGATACGCGTTTTGCGTTCGTTGATAGTTTTTTCACGTCGCTTGACTCTAATTTGCGATTTGTCGGTGGCGTTTTGTAGCTTCATCCCCTTTTGTGATTCGTTTGCCGATGCAATCATATTTGTTCGTATCTTTATATTGTTTGAGTTTTTTGGTTAGGTTATTTTTAACCTTTTTCTTATTTGGTCCTTGTGTGATCTAGGTGGCTAGTTTTTGTGTTAATGGTTATAGGAAAATATCCTAATTATAATTTTGTTTACATTTACGTTATACTTGTAAATCTTTATTGTAATTCTGAATATTTTTTTGTTTTTAATAAAACTAGCCGCTTTCTACAAAAAAAACTTAATACTTATATCATTATTAAATTAAAGAATAATTTTTCATTTTATTTGGAAATAAAATATAATTAAATAATTATTTATATATAATTATAAAATTTTATATTAAATTATTCTAAAAATTATATTTATAATATTATGAAAATATTTTAAAATATTTATTTAATTTTTAAAATCTTATTATTTACTTATTTGAAATATTATTATTTTTAAATTATCTATTTAATTTTAAATAATATTATACATAACCAAAGTGATATATGGATACTAAACGTATAATTTACCCTAAATTTAAAATCATTTATAATTAAATAGATAATTTAAAAACAATATCATTTCAAATAAATAATTAATTTGATTTCAAAAAATAAATAAGTATTTTTATACTATTATAAATATATATTTTTTATAATTATTTCATGTAATTATTATAAAAAAAAATTATTTAATTATTTTTTATTTCAAAATAAATTGAAAAGTTAGTCTTTTAATTTAATAATGATATAAGTAAGTGTTAAGTTTAGTATAATAATTAAATTCACACTATAGTTGAGTGACTAAGATTTCAGTGATTAATTTAAATTGTCTCATATTTAAAACTTATAATCATAAAAAAAATATTGATCTTGTGTTGATACAATTAGATAAGTTAAATACAAAATATGATGAAATTTAATCAAATGACTAGCTTAGTTCAATGATTGAGTGATTTTGTTTCTCACGTAAGAGACCCAAGTTCCATTCATACAAAGAGCAAGAATGAATGTAAAAATTATTGACAAATAAAATTAATTAAAAATACCAACAAAATAAAGAGAAAAAAAAAGTGATATGATAATTAAAAAATAAAAAATGACATGTCATATCACATCTGTATTGCGGTTAATAAAATTTAAAATTTAGTTATTAAAACAAAACAAAAATAATAATTTATGTACAAAACATATAATCTATCTTTTTAATATTTACTTAATAAAGATAATTTAACTAATAATATATTCCGTTTTAGTAAAATGTGTATGCAATATGTATCGTAGAATTTTCATATATATATATATATATATATATATATATATATTTAAACATACATTAATGATTGATAATGTTTGATTTTCAGGTTGGACCTTTGAAACAGGTCAATCTTAAGCCTTAACGGAAGAGTAGTGAAGCAAACCATCTGTAAGCCTTCACGGAAGATTAGTGAAACAAACTCATTTTATGAAGATCGAGTCATATACTCTCTGAAAGAATAGGGAGCGACAAAAAAAAAGATTTGTTATTTTAAATAAGAATTAATTTTAATTAAAATAATAAATTGAGGTCTGCGTTACCAAAAAATGAGTTCGGGAGTCGATTACGTGTGGGGAAGGATTAGCACCCCACAACGCCCTAAATCAGTACCTAATCAATTAATTAACGTCTTTACAATAAACTTTACAAATTCAAATTTAATTTAATTTTTAATCCCGTAAACAACAAAAAAGTGAATTATATATATATATATGAATAGTTTTCTTGTTAGAATTGACGTGTAGAACAAAGGCTGGCCTCAAATAGGAAGACCACTGTCCGCGGCAAATTGGGCGTGTTTTAGAGATCGAAAATGTCAAATCCACGAAGCGGTTGAGGAAGATAAGGCGGCTGCCCTTATCTTCATCCAACTTGAAAGTCTACGTTCATCCCCCCTCTACCCCCAAATGCCAAAATGTCTTTTGTCTTTTCTTAATTAATTAATTAATTAATTAATTATGAGAATATTTTATTTTCACTTCACCACGTTTTTGTTATACCTTCTCTATATTATATTGTTAATTTTATTGATAGGATGAATTTTTATATTTTTTAAGTTATAAGTACACGCTGTTATTCTCAGAGGTCATATGTTCGAGTATCAGTGACTGTAATAGAGTGATTGAGCGTTTATTATCAAATGATTGAGTGTATTTAGAACATATACTATTTTGTAATCACATTAGTTTAGTAAAAAGAAAAACAAAGTTATAAGGACACAAATTACTATTAGGGTATTTAGTCACTTAATTATTTATGTAATTTTGTTTTGGTCACTCAACTATTTTTTCTTTCAAAATCATACATAACGTTACATTTTGGTCGTCCGTTATTAAAAACATTAAATGTAATGCTCATGTATCACCTTAAGGTAATGCATCATCATCATTAAAAAATAAAAAAAAATTACCACGCCAATAATTCTCTCTTTTTTAACGTCAAGTGGCCAAAACAAAACAAAAACATAACATTATGTATGATTTAAAAAAATGAAAATTTAAAAGGAATCACGAGAATTGTTGGTGACTAGATACATTTTTACCCTTGCTATTATACCAAAAGAATCGAGGGTTAGACCCCTCCCACTTCTAAGTTCATTAAAGAGAAACAATGAATCACTTAAAAACGCTCAATCACCTTATTGCAAGCGTTATTACTCAAATCCGTGACCTCTAGGAACAATAACGATTTCTTTAACCACTAAGATAAATTGGTTCGCGGATGAATCTACAATGAATATCATACATTGATATGAACAATTAATACTACACACGGTTATACATTATTATTTTTATTAAGAATAATATAATTGTTTATATAATTTTGATATTAATTTTAAATTAAAATAATAGTAAAAATATAAATTAAAAATAATAATATAAAAAAAATAAAAATTGTATTATTTATCTTAAACAAGATTAAAATATAATGTTTAAAACCGTCCTTGGAGAAAAACAAATATAAGTCGTATTAAGCAATTTTGTAGCAGGCATCCAAATAAACATATACGTGTCGACTTCGAAAGCAAATATGCTATAAGCTACCTCGGAGCTTTCGCCACGTGTACGACAACACCAAACCACCGCCGTCAATTAAAAGAAATCCTAACTCTGCTGGGACCCACATATTATCCATTTATGTGTTTACGTGTCTGCCAGCGCATGCTCCTATCTCCCTCAAGATTATCCAAAACACCCTTAGTTCTAACCCCAATGATTGCCACAGACAAGGATATTAAAGTAATCGCATGACCCCATCGCACGTGCGATGGATCAAACTGACGCGGGTTTCGCACGCGCTCGCCGCCGAACAGGATACCTTCTTTGCCCTTCTCTCCTTTTTTAACTCCGTTATTAGATTTCCCAAAGTAATTTTTTTTCTAGGGTTTCAGACTCTCCGAAATTCGCTCTCTTTCCTCAAAAATTTCGATTCGAGAAATCTTTTTTGAAGCTAGATTTTTTTTTTCAGCGAGTTTTTCGGTTAGAAATTGGGAAAATCGGGACTTCGCTTAGATTGGATGACGCAGTTGATGAGATCGGGAAATCCGACGCCGGAACCCGAAGCTTGCCGGGAGAAGGCGCCGGTTAAATTGGAGATCGTGGAGGATTCTTTAGAGGAAAAACATGGACCTGTTAATAAACGGTCCAAACTTTCTCGAAATCTTGAACAGGTATTATCTTTTCTAATTTTCTTTTGATGTTTTTTCCCAATGAAATCAAACATTCTCCTTATCTTTGAGAGAGATCCGAACTATTTAGAGAAGAAAAAAAAAGGATCTTTCTGGTAGAACTTTTAAAGTTTAAAGAGCTCATTCCTCCTGGTTTTTTTTAATATTTTCTGTCAGTGGAACTGCGATGCCAATGCTTTCCCGATCCCACCAGCGCAATACAATCCGTTGGATGAACCGAGCCCACTTGGTTTGAAGCTAAGGAAGAGTCCTTCACTTTTGGATTTGATCCAAATGCGTCTCTCTCAATCACAAACCAGTGGCTCAGCTGCCGAAGCTGAAAATTCCAATTCTGGAGTAAAAAGGGAGATTAAAGCTGATGCCGCTACCGATAAGCTTAAAGCCTCGAATTTTCCAGCTTCTATTCTTCGAATCGGCCACTGGGAGGTAACTTTTCGTTAAGTTTTCTTTATACATATTATAAAATCCTTTTCAAGGAGCTGAAGAATTGTTTACTTGGTGATTTGCAGTATAAGTCGAGGTATGAAGGGGATTTAGTTGCCAAGTGTTATTTTGCAAAGCATAAGCTTGTTTGGGAGGTGTTGGAAGGTGGGCTTAAGAGTAAGATTGAAATACAATGGTCCGATATTATGGCTATTAAGGCAAATTGTCCTGAGAATGGACCCGGGACTTTGAATGTTGTGGTAAATTATCCTGTATTCCGTTTTATTCTTTTCCGTTTCCAATCTCTATTTCATTTTTCTGCAATAATTTTGATGACTCGCTTATTTGATAATACAGCTGGCTAGACAGCCCCTTTTCTTCAGGGAGACTAATCCACAGCCTCGAAAACACACCTTATGGCAGACAACATCAGATTTTACTGATGGTCAAGCTAGCATACATAGGTAAAAGTGATATATTTTTTAATTCTTTGTGGAAGACAAGCTGAATGTTTCTGTTCTATGTTGGTTGTTTGCGTAGGGTTATGTGACTAATATGATAATAAAAATTTTATTGCCACTTCGCAGGCAACATTTTCTGCAGTGCCCCCAAGGTTTGTTGAACAAACATTTCGAAAAACTGATCCAGTGTGACATGCGTTTGAACTGCTTAAGCAGACAGCCAGAGATAATTTTGGATTCACCGTACTTTGAATCACGGAATACTGCTTTTGAGGATCCTGGTGAACAGAAGGGGCATGACAATTGTCAAGGGGGGACTGGTAAAGGATCAACTAGCTCTGGCTTCCAGAATATGGCATCGCCTGCTGCAGCTCACTCTTCGTCCTTTGAGATTGAGAGAGGGGATTCTGCTGCCATAACCTCGGAAAACATTTCCAGGGAAGCTCCATCCCCTAGTTCAGGTATGATCGGGAGCTCATGTTTTGTTTTTGACGTGCCTGTAGATAAAGTTTCTATGTTATGTTGTCCTTTAGTATTCTCTTTTACTCCTTTTCAAGTCCAATGACTAACATGTTGCAGTGTGTGATCTCTTGGTAAGCTGAATAGGTCTGATTTGAAGTTTTCTTGTTATTGTTAACAATGATGTTACATAGGCTTTATTTTATAAATCATTTTGTTAACGGTGGTGATGATGCTGACGCAAGCAGTAACAAGAACACAGTCGCCTTTTTATATAAAAAACCCCTGTATGGCTGCATATGCATGCTTTTTTATTTGTTTGTTCTTCGACAGATTTAGTATCTGCATTGGTATTGTTCATTTTTCTTTTTCAGGGCTTAGACTTGTAGTTCTAGCTGAGTAGAAAGATATTTTTGTAGTATTTTTCCTCTCTAATTAAATCTAATTTATCATTAGTGATAGATTATCGTGGCAACGAGGGAAGTGGAGTCTGTGAAGCAGTGGATTCAAAGGGGCCAAGAAATTGGGACCAGATAAAAGTGCCTGGACTTCACCCGTCTATGTCCATGAGTGATCTTATGAACCATATTGGACACCGACTTTCAGAACATATGACCTCCGAAAATCCATCCTCTGAGAACAGACCAGACTGCCAGGAAATGCTGGAGGATATAGCACAATACCTTCTCAGTGACACTCAATTTACAACGGCCTCTGATGAGAAATCCCTCATGTCAAGGGTCAATTCTCTCTGTTGTCTTCTGCAGGAGGGTACAACCGGCTCAAGCTCACAGGCTAACGGAGAAAATTACAATGGACCCGATGATGGAGAAGATGATCAGCTTATAAACAAAACTAATGGCTTTGAGTTCAATATTGCAGCCAAGGATGATGCAAAAGCTTTCGAAGATGAAACAAAAGAAGTCTCTAGTGGCAGGCAGGCACCAGGCATGTCAAGAAAAGACTCGTTTGGTGAATTGCTGCTTCATCTTCCCCGAATCGCTTCTCTCCCGAAGTTCTTGTACAACATTTCAGAAGATGGAGAGCGACAAGCCAGATAAGATAGTTTTCTTGTCCGTGGACTGTTTAAAACAACTCATAAAATATCAAGGGAATTCCCCAGTCACCCTCTCTTTAGTTGGAAAAATGTGATATCGCTCGTCTATTATATTAAGGGGTGTGTTGAGGAGGGATGCTTGCACAATGGGGTTTTCCAGGATTCGGAGGATTCTTTTGATGAAGAATCCCATATAAGGTCCTCAGGTGGTGGTAGCAAATATGTTATTTGATGTAATATCTAAAGCAGGTTGCTGGTTCTGTTTTAAGTTGCAAGTAAATTGTTAATTGATATCTGCAGGTTCTCATTCTCATTTTCCATTTTTGATTCACACCTTTTTTGTTTGATTGGTTTTGAGAGGATCCGTGGACATGCTTTTTAGGATGTTACATGTGAAAAGGCAAAATGTCCACACTGATGAAGCATCTTTTGATCATTATTGGTGAGAGACAAAAAGGAATGGAAAGCAGTGATGTGAGAGTAGGATAAAGAGTTGGTCAACAATATTATCTATTTGATGAATTCTCGGGAGTGAATATTCGATCGAGTAGAGTAAAATAATTTTGAATTAGTTAATGGGTTTTATTCATGATTCAAATTTTATTTGGATCGAATTAAGTTAATTTGTGTTGTTCGAGATTTTATTTAAATTTAATTATAAATATTTATAAGTTTAAGATATCAATTGATTCAAATTTAAATGATTTTCTATCATCATATATATATATATATAAATCATGTAAAGTTAGAAAATTTGATTTTCTAAGTGATATTGAGGTGATAGATACTGCTTTATTTATTTATTTTTTTGGTGTATTTATGGACTGTTAATAGTATGCTTGTATTGAGATTCATTAATTGACAGGGTAACCAAGTATACACATTTATCTTTTTCTATAGGTTTGAATCTTGATATTTATTTTAGAAAAGTAATACATTGTTTTATTTAAATCCAGAACCTCGAAGGATAATAATAATCCCTTAATTATTGGGGTAGCATGGTTCGTAAAGCGATAAAATTGAATAACTAAGTCTACTGATTTAGATATACATGTCATGTATTTTGTTAACTTCATATTCTGTTATTGTATTTGGTATACCTATTAAATCTCCATTTGGTTAAATAATGAAGTTAATTGCATAATACATACTCAAATTATAATTTTTATTTTAAATTAGTTCTTAAGCTTTTAAATATTTTAATTTCATCCTTAAACTATAACTATGATTCTAAATTAGTCTTCAAACTTTTGAACGTTTCAATTTCACCCTCAAATTATGACATTCATTCTAAATTGATCCTAAACTGTTTAATATTTCAATTTCATCCGAAACTATATGTATATACTAATCACATCCTTTGTTAGTAAAACCATTAGGTTGAGTTATATTATTATATGTTTGAAAAATAAAATAAAATTTAGGTTAAACTATGCTTGGAACTAATTACATAATTGGATGGCTTTGGAGGTAATATTGAAAGATTCAAAAGTTTGGGAACCAATTTAGAATGAGGGTCATAGTTTGGCGATGAAATCAATGTTCAAAAGTTTAACTAATTTAGAGTAAAAGTCATAGTTACATGATGAAATTAGAATATTTAAAAGTTTAAGAATTAATTTAAAATGAGGATCATAGTTTAAGGACATATGATGTAATTAACTCTAAATTATGTTACGAAATCAAGTATTCATGTCTTTTCTTTTAATTCTTACGGCGTGCACGAACCAAACGATTTCGGTGGTAAAGAAATTGTTGTTATTCCTCAAGGTATCATATTTGAGCACCATGGATGCCAAGGGTCATTGGGGATGAAATTAGAATATTCAAAAGTTTAAGGACTAATTTAGAATGAAAGTTATAGTTTGAGGAGGAAATTAGAATATTAAAAAATTTAAGAATTAATTTAAAATGAAGATCATAGTTTAAAAACATATGATGCAATTAACTCTAAATTATGTTACAAATTAAATATGCATGTCTTTTCTTTTAATTCTGGTGTGCACACACTAAGCAATCTATGGGGTAAACGAATTTTTGTTATTTCTTGAGGTCTCGGTTTAAAGATCATGAACGTCAAGGGTATGAGCATTCAATGTCAAATGATTGAGAGTTATCTTTAAACACATACGACCTTGGTGTATGGTCTCTATTTTGTTTATCTGTCTAGTTACAGACTTAAGTCATATCAAGATATTTAGATCACTCTTTTTTTGTTTTTAGCAGGCTTCATTAAAAAATAAATGTCCAAACAATACTTTTTTTAAAGAGAAAATAACCTCAGTGACAAAAAATGTCTTATAATATACGATTTTAACCAACTTTTTTTGGATTTGCCAAAATGACCAACTAAATCTCAATGCGATCGATAATTCGCAACGCGATCTCCGGTATCGCAAATCAGTTTCCAGATTCGCAACGCGATTCTGACTATCGCATTGCGATTTCCCAAATTCGTGTTGCGATTTTCCTAATTCGCAATGCGAATACGTAAATCGCAATGCAATTACGTAAATCGCAATGCGAATTAGGACAATCGCAATGCGATTACGTAAATACAATGCGAATACGTAATCGCATTGCGATTTACGTAATCGCATTGCAATTTTCCTAATTCGCATTGCGATTTACGTAATCGCATTGCGATTTACGTAATCGCATTGCGATTTAGTAAATCGCAACGAGATTCTGACTATCGCAATACTGAATTTCAAATTCGCAACTCGATTTCTGAATTCGCAACAGGTTTTAATTTCGCAACACAAATGTTTTGGGTATATAAATACGCAGCAGCATGAACTCATAACCTAAATCCCTAAATCGCAACTCATTCCATCTCCATCTATCACTCTCTCCGGCGACATCCGTTCCTATATCCAACGACATCCTTCCCCATCCGGCAACAGGTTTTAGTTTCACAGCTCGTTTGTTTAGTAAATTAATTTACAATAATGAAATCATCTAATGTTGATCATGTTTGGATAGATTTGTGTTTTGGAGGGTCATGGGAGAATGTTCATGGTGTTTTACAATATATGCCTTTACCCATGAATCTTCAACTAAAACTGTCATTAAAAAAGTTAACTTATGAAACTCTAATGTTACGTGTTGTAAATAAATTGAATTTAGAGCCCCTAAGTGGATTTAGGCTATCTTATCAGAGAAATGGTAAAGTTTATTTGTTAACCGACAATGAAGATGTTGAACGATTCATTGTTTACATTAGTGTTTCAAGTGATGATGTTACATTGTATGTTGTTGAACCTAGAAGTAGTGAAGTTGGGTCAGTAGCGGGTAGTAATCAACTAAGTTTTTCAACCCCAGTTTATGGTGCTCAAAATTTAATGGTTCCACCACAATTTCATCACCAAGCAAATATTGTTTCACCACATTTCCAATACCAAACACAATCTTAAAACCCACAACCTTTCCCTAATCCAAATCCCAATCAACTTTCAGCACCAAATTCCGATTTTCGTATTGACCAGTTAGACGATGATGAGCCAACAAAAAAAATTGTGAGTACTAGTCAGTATTCGAAATTTGATCTTGGTCAATACCCGGACTTTGATCTTGGTCAATACTCGGATTTTGATGATTTTTCAGAAGAAGAAACAGACCCTACGTGTAATGATTTTGATATTGGTCAATACCCGAATTTTGATGATGAAACAGCCGTTGCTGAGGAAGATGTTGTTGATGATAATGAGGAGGAAGTTACGACTGTAAATGAACATGTTAAACATCCATTCTGTAATTCATATAACACTAAAGAAGAAAAAGAAGAAGAAGAAATCCCCAAAGAAAAGTCCCCGAAGAAAATGCCACGGGAGTATAACTGGAATATGCCAGAATTACTTCAGATACCGGAAGAAGAGTTGGTAAAGATATCAGTTGATTGCCACACAAAAATTATTCGTATCAAGAAAGATGATTGTTTTGATACAAAGGAAGACTTGAAGATAGCTTTGTATACAAAATGTGTGGAAGATGGCTATCAACTAAAAGTTAACAAATCAAGCAAAGATCGTTTCGAAACAATGTGTATGATTGAAAAAAACTCCATGTGGCGTATGATTGCAAAGAGGATAAAAGATTGCAAAATGTTTCAAGTTAGGACTTTTATTGATAAACATACATGTTCAAGAACCCAAGTTTTTCCTCACCATAGACAGGCAAACAAAAAGGTGTTGGGTGGTTTTCTGGCTGAGTTAATGTTTTTGAATGGTAGGGTATATCGGGGACATGAAATTATGACTGACATGAATGCTCGGTTCAAGATTAGTATCTCATATTCTCAAGCTTGGAGAGCCAAATGTCATGCCTTGGAATTGTTGAGGGGGTCGCCAGAAGCATCGTTTGCCCAACTGCCGGCTTATTATCACAATTTAAAGCTGAAAAATCCTGGGTCGGTAACTCATACCAAAACACATAGAGATGGACGCTTTGAGTTGCTGTTTATCGCCATTGGTGTTGCGGTTAGTAAATCAATATAATTTTGTTAACTCATTTTTGTTAGTTACATGCATTTCACATTTAAATGATTATATTTCTTGTGTATATGATTTTGTAGATTCGTTCGTTTATTAATTGCATGCGCCCAGTTATTATAGTTGACGGAACACATTTAAAAGGTCGATACCTTGGAGTAAACTTATTAGCAGTAGCCATGGATGCTAACAATGGGATACTGCCAATAGCTTACGGGGTTGGAAAATCTGAAACCTCTGATTCATGGACATGGTTTATGGGGCATCTTAGGAATTGTATAGGTCCTATTAGCAATCTGACAATCATATCCGATAGGGCAAACTCAATTGACAACGCTGTTAGAAGGTGTTTCCCAGATGCTTTGCGATAGTCAGATTCGCATTACGATTTACGTATTCGCATTGCGATTTTCCTAATTCGTGTTTGGAATTTGAAAAAAAAAATACGCGTTAATACGAATGGCGCTATGTAAATCGCAATGCGATCGTCAGAATCGCATGATTTGCGATACCGGAGATCGTGTTGCGAATTATTGATCGCATTGCGATTTAGTTGGTCATTTTGGCAAATCCAAAAAAAGTTGGTTAAAATCGTATATTATAAGGCATTTTTGGTCACTGAGGTTATTTTCTCTTTTTTAAATAGGTGTTCAAACTTTTTTTTTTCAATTCATTCAGGTGCCTAATGTTGTAAACATTACCATTTTAGGTGTTCGGACTGTAACGACTGTTAAATTCTGCCAAATTTTAAAATTTTGATTTAAAATAAAAAAAATTAAAATTATATATTTTTAAAAAGCTCAAAATTTTTGAAAACGTTAAAAAACCCTAAACTTTGAAAATCTTAAATCTAATTCCTATACCCACACTGACCGCCGCCCTTTCCGTCACTACCGTTAACCGAACCTCCATCCGACGATCATTTTTCCAACGAAGAGCCACCACAATCGGAGCTGACGAAAGATGA